AAGATAGTAAGAAATTAATCTGTGGGACATTATTTGATGGGATTAAATTTCAATATGTTGTTTTTGTTAATTCTTTTATGATTAACTTTTAACTTTGAATGATAAGGCTTTAAAGATTTGTTATAAATGGGCTCATAAATATAAGATGTGGAAAGGATTGTTTTTGGCATTTTTAGAGAAAACAAGTCATTATGTAAATGAATATGAAACTTATTTAAGGTGAATACAAACAAAAAGGCTATTAGGAAGACAGGGGAAGGAAACAGGGCAGGGCACTCAGATAAGGCACTGAACGAAAGAGCAATTATCCTTGATGTTTAACATTATGGCTTAAGCCTACCTTCCCCAAATTTGGATCTTTCAGTGTTGAGGACTACAGTTTCCAGCCACTTCAGTTTTTGTCCACACTGACTGGAAATTCTGGGATTCTCAGAGCTGATGAATCTAGAGGAAGACAGTCGAAGGCTGCCTTGAATGAGCCTCTAAAGTTCATGGCATTAGGTTCTGGCAGATTGTAATCCAGTTTACTTTATAATCCATGTAATTAATCACCTTTTAAATTTGTTTAATACAGTATTTGTAAATCCAATCAAGACAAAGCATTCATGTAAGATGTGCCTTTGGGGAATTTTCTGCCATCACTATGGTCCTTCTGTTGGACTGGACTCTTTAGTCATAGTAATCTGTGTCAAGGCAAAATCCCTGCTTTTTGGTGTTCCTATTCTACTGGGTGATGTTGCCACATTTTCCTGTTTGTGTGATTATCTCAAAAACCAGTATAAAACAGGAGAGGTTCCTGCACGCCTTGGTCTCTCTCAATAGCCCTGCTTAACTTACAGTTCCAGGATCCCCCAAAATCTGTGAAACAGCAGCACCTGGTGGAAAATTGCAGGCATTGTGCTCCAGCGAGGAGTGCATTTTTGTTCCATGGGTTGCACTTTATTTACACCTTGAGTTATAACATTTTAAAAAACAGATAGCAGAAAATACAAACATTTGGATAATTTCACTTTGTTTTAAAACTGCTCAAACATCAGAATTATATTTTAATAGCCTTTTCTTGTGAGAGGGGCAATCTGCAGTCCTTCCTGAGTTGGACAGTTCTATAAACATCTGTATTTATCTTTTCTATTAGTAAAACATTATCCGTTTTATTTATAAAATTTAGACACCCACCCATCTCACTCTCAGAATGTCAGAGTTTTGCATACAGGTAGTCCTCGACTTATAACAGTTCGTTTAGTGACTGAAGTTACAATGGCACTGAAAAAAGTGACTTATGACTATTTTTCACACGACAGTTGAAGCATCCCCATGACCATGTGATTAAAATTCACATGGCAACCAACTCATATTTATGACAGTTGCAGTGTCCTGGGGTCATGGTATCACCTTTTGTGATCTTCTGACAAGCAAAATCAACGGGGAAGCCAGATTCACTTAACAACCATGTTACTAACTTAACAACTGCAGAGATTCACTAAACAACTGTGACAAGAAAGGTCATAAAATGGGGGAAAACTCACTTAACAAATGTCTCACTTAATAACAGAAATTTTAGGCTCAATTGTGGTTGTAAATTGAGGACTGCCTGTATAATCCTGTACTGTATTGCATAAATATTTTTCATGTATCTTGCCTTTAGGAAAGCTTTTAACTCTTAACTGAAGATTCTGTACGAGGATCTTTAATAAATCTTTACCTTCTAAACGCTACAAACCTAATGAATGACCTTCACTGAACTGAAATGGGAATTATTTTTAATAACCCTTGAAAACAATTTCAGGAATAGAAGAAATCCTTCTGATTCTCTAACTTAGAATCCAAACTGCCATGTTTAAAATGATTTTGTGCACAAGTAGCAAAACTCCACTTTTTTATACTATAAGCAATATGAGAAAAATACCTTCCCTCACAGCAATCTCTCAGAATTGGAAAGCAGTCCCCTCAGATTGTAGTCTCAGATATTTTCAGCTTGCCTCTATGAACTATTTTCCATCCCAAATGGATGATATGAAGCACACACACACAAAATACCTGACATTGGGTTTTTCTTGCTTTCCTAATTACATCCCTTCCTCCTATTTGGATATTATTATTTTGATAAGGTATACAAGTTTGCTAGAACCTTGTAAATATTCAAAAAAATAAAAATATATTTGAGGATTATGGATCAAAACTAAGAGAACCATCAGGCTGTTGTTTCTTCCTCTTCTACAGGTACAAATATTTCAACATCTTTTTTCCTGGTTTGAGGTAAACCTTTGGTTGCCATTTTGTCCAAAGCAGGACTGAACATTCCTCTTACAACATAGGATTGAATCTTGTGGTGCCACTAGCACCAAGTTTACATTATTTCTATTTTCATCTCTGTATCCATTTCAGATCCAGGACTTCGATTCTACTTGTATGAACTACTTACATTTCATGTCTTCCTGATATTAGACTTTGCTTGCTTGTTGAACAGCAATGTGTTATATTACAACAACTCTGAGCTTGTAATTGCACAGCACAATCCTATTCACATTTTCTTGAAAGCAAGCTTACTTGTTAGTAAGTAAAACTGTTTCAGACTGAGTTCAGTAACTTGCTCCTACATAAATATAGGAATACAATCTCAAAGTATTTACAAATGTTTGAAAAATGATAGAACCTAATGAACCCTTAAACATTTAATTAAAAACCAGGAACAAGTCCATATGACAAATACAGCAACCCACACTATTAAATTACACTTCTCATATACAAATTTGAATACAATGCCCACAAAATCCAAGAATTTACAACCAAGCAAACTTAGCATAGGCATTCACAAATTGGAGGGAATGACAAAATATGCATTGCAACACAAACTGTATGATTTATATACTTGCCTCTGATGTTGATATGTACAGAAAGCTGACGGCTTGTACCATGTCACAATGCAACATTTTATCATTTTTGTTTTACTGAAGTTTGTTCCAACAATTACTTTTGTATCATGAAAATATTGTATAAACTCTGTTATATTGCTATGATAATTGCTAAATGGAAATTAATAATGGATGGCAATTATATCGCTAACTGGTACTTATTAAAATTTACTTGTTCATTTTGGCATATTTGATGCACAACATATATCATAAAACCTTGAACAATTCATGCGTTAAGCTATAATAAAACAGTACATTAGAGAAACTCTAATAATCTTATGAAATGCCTTATGACTGGTTCAGAATGAATTAGTCTATATAGTGAAATGCCATGTAAGAATTGTTCTAACAGTGGGGTCAAAATGAAAATGATTTTTTTCATAGAACAATAAGAACATAAGATCATTTATAAAGGAATGTAAGAAATCTCTAACTTCCAACCACAAGTTATTATGGGTGATAGAATATTTGGTAACATAACCAGTTACAAAAGATATACTTGTTTATTGACTTTTCTTATTTTCTCTGCTTGCTTTTCTTTTCTGCTGTATTTTCTTTAGTTCTGTCATTACGTTCACTGTTTTATAAACCCAAGCAATCTGAAAAACAAAAACAAATGACATGTGAAATTCAATTCCTAATAGTGTTCTCATTTCTTCAGGGGCCTCTGTTTATGCAATCTAAATCTCCAGTCATAAGATGTTATCAAGCTTGGTGAAGCCCAATATTTGAAGTACTGACAAATTTTCCAAATGAGAACAAAACCTCATTAATAAGTACAGAACGTTATCAAAATAGTAGTGAATAAACAATAATCATTCTAAAACACACGGCCTTTGTTTCCTCAACAAAACACTCTTTGTCATTCTACCTTACTCACCTCACTACTTATAACTTTACAGATTACAGACATATTTTAATTTGCATAACCCTCTACAAGGGAGTTGAATTCCTGATCCTTTTTAGGTTTTCTATTGAAGCTTCTGAAACCCAAATAAACACAATTTGTCCTTCAAAAGGATGGTGTTGCTGGGTTTCCATTACTAACACACTTTAGTAGTTCAAAAGGGTTACCAAGTTGCCTGGTAACCATGACTGACTGCATAGGAGCAACTTACATCACACATGTCAAGATGTCACTAAAATGAGACAAGTGATGTAATTTACGTTATGATTATAGTGGCTACTAATAAATGCCAGGGGATCAAACATTATGAAAGTATTACCAGACACCATGAATAGGAATTTTCTATAATAAAACATTTTTTTCTGGTTTCTTTTGCATTTTGACATGATGCCAACATTTTTAAGGCAAGAGATTAGCGCTTACCACTATGAGGATGGCATTTAGCAGTAGTGGTGTTGAGAACACTAATGAAATAAACATTCCTTGGGAATCAAAGTACTGGTGCTTTGAGAAGAATCTGTAAAGGAGCAAAAATAAAAATAAACATCCTTGGTGAAAACAAACTCCATAAAAGACAACAGGCCGCGTTCCAAACGGAAACATCTTTTAAGAGACAAGATTGTACTCCTGAACTTTAAATACTAAAAGTTTTAAAACTTTTTTTCCAGGTTATCATCTGCTGTGTGTGCTAGTTGTATTTCGCTGGCCGCTCCTGAGCATTTGACTCAGTTTATCCACGCAAGGTGGCAGAGGTCTCAAATAAATGCACTCTTAGAATCATGTTTTCAGTGCTCCTGCTGTTGAGCTTTGATTTCTTCTTTCAGGAAGCTCAATTATACAAACGCTGGGCACAAGGTAGCAATTGGAAAGGAAGCAAAACCTATCTTTTTAAACATGTATTCTTCTATGGCTTTTACAGTAGAGACAAAAAACAAAAAAAACCAGGAAAAAAACCTAACGCATAGATAAAAATACAAAAAGGAAAAAAATATATAGAAAATGTTTTAAAAGGTGAAAAATTACAACAAAGGAAAAAGTATATCATTTTAACAGTAGTTATAATTTTATATATAGTTATTTAATGTGATTATTGTTCAAATGCATGTATATTTCTAATGCATTTATATAACTATGTTTTTTGGCCTACTATATAAATGAGTCCCCTTTTTCATTATTATATTTGCCATATAAAGTTACATATAGAAGCAAACCAATTGTAGGCAGCAAGTGCAATCAGGTCCTTAATCCATTGGGTGAAAGAGGCCATACATTTATTTTTCCAATTAATACCAGTTGTTGGCTTCCAATATGTAATACTTGACAATAGGTTCCAGATTCGGAAAACTGAATCCTTTCTTGTTAATTTGTAATTGCATTTTCTGCAAAGACATTCTCCTAATTGAAGAATCCCACAGAAATTTTCTAAGCAAAGACATTATTTTCTGAACCATTTTCTAAATATATAAACTGGGATTCCTTTCAGAATATAAATTAATCTGGGAACAATATTTATTTTGAGAGTGTTTGCCTTTCCCCAAAGGGAATGAGGACGACTCTCATTTATTAATACCTGAAGAAACCCTCTCCATATTTTACTTATATTACATGTTGCTGAGTTATATCTTTTAGTATAGACATACCTAAATATTTAATGAATTCAGTACAAATACAGAATTGATACACCTTAAATGGATGGCTAACCAAATTTCCATCTATAGGCATCAGTTCCAACTTGATCAATGCTGCTTTTTTATTAAAAGCATCTATCTTTTGCATCAACAGTAGGATGGTATTATAAAGTTTAGAAATAAACAAAAAAATATAATCTGCAAATAAAACCAATTTGTGTTCAATTGAATGATGTACCATTCCAAGCCAACCCAAGGATTCCACACAGGTATTAAAAAACAAGGGTGAAAGTGGACATTCTTGTTTCTCTCTCTCACTAAACAGTGGAAAAATAGGAGAAAATATCCCATTAATTTTCTCTTTAGAGGTGGCCAATTTATATAGTATCTTAATCCATTTTATGAATTCCAAAGGAAATCCAAATCTGTCAAAGGTCCAGTGGAAAAACCTATCTTGTTTCGGCTTCTTCTTGCCAAGTCACAGACTTCCTTTTGTTTTAAAGATTTAAAAAACAAAAACCAAACCCACACATGTATAAAAAACATTGATGTTTCCCAGCATGAAAACATTTACTCCAAGAGAAAGATTATAGATTATACATTTGAATGCCAAAGGTTTAATGTGAGGCATACCAAAATCTCACCGATTTCACTGACCAGAAAATTAGGCACATGCTCTGGTCTCCATTTTTAGAGTATTTGGAATGCAGTATTTAAAGGAATTTAATGACTTCTGCCAGAGGTGGGTGGAATAGAACATTCTGTTGCTAAGCTCAATTTCCCATCAATCCTAGGTAAAACGACCCATGGTAATAGAACATGGGAGTGGCAATCCAATCATACTTGGAAAGCATATATAGGTAGTCCTCGACTTATGACCATAACTGAGCCCAACATTTCCATTGCTAAGCAAGACAGTTGTTAAATGAGTGGTGCCCCATTTTATGAGCTTTCTTGCCACAGTTGTTATGTGAATCATTGTAGTTGTGAAGTTAGTAACATGGTTGTTAAATGAATCTGGCTTCCCCATTGAATTAGCCTATCAGAAGGTCACAAAAAGTGTTCACATAATCCCAGGATATCACAACAGTCATAAATACATGGCAGTTGCCAAGCGGCTGAATTTTTGATCATATGACCATGGGGATGCTGCAACCGTCATAACCATGAAAAATTGTCGCAAGTCACTATTTCCAGTGCCTTATAACTTCAAACAATCACTAAAGAAATGGTTGTAAGCCGAGGACTATCTGTATTGCCAGTCACCAGGAGAGGGGAAAAAACAGGAGACCACGAATTCAAGTCCTGCCTTAGCCATGAAAGCCAGCTGGGTGACTTGGGGCCACTCGCTCTCTCAGCCCAACTCGCCTCAAAGGGTTGTTATTGTGAAGAAAATAAGAACAGGAGAAAGACTTATAAGTTTTGCTGTCTTGAGTTATTTGGGAAAATAAAGCAACATGAAGGTTTTTTTTAAATACAGTATAATGTTTTATGCAGTTGTTAAGATGTATCTTTCTCTCTATATATTAAAATAATGTAAAATAATGTAATTACCTCCAGTTTGCAGCAGCTACTTCATTTATGTATTCTGCACAGAATACCAGGATCACTAGAAAGACAAGTACAATTGCAGATTGCTAAAGGATATTGAATCATCAGTACAACCAACTGGACAACTGGCATATAAAATATGTATTGCTTCACAGAACGGAGGCTGGCATGGAAACATTTCAGAAGGGACCCTCCAGAGAGCAAAAAGAAAGGCGTGGAAAAATACTTTCAGCCTTGGAAGATTTTGTTAATGTAAGCTTACAATGAATAAGAATAGTACTCCTGGTTGTGCTTCTTTTCTAGACTACTTAACGAGGCTAACAATTTGTAAATGGTTGCCAACAAAGGTATTTGCTAAATGACAAGCTGTTTGTCAACAGCAGTGTAGGTTTTGCATGCCTCAATCCCAAGATTACTTCAGGTGTCCAAATGAAGTTGGAGCAGCAGCTGGAATCAGCAATGTTACAGTATCCCAGGTAGGGATATTAATGAATGTTTTCAACACTTTTTTGATTTGGGGAGGGTTAGAACAGAAATTGGAGGACTCTGGAAAGACACTATTCTTATTCCCAATTTTAAAACCTGCCTGGTAATGTGTTTGGAGGATGCTGGAGAGCAGTCCAGGTCTCCACATGTAGAATCAAATCCCAAAACTCTCAATTTAGCATTACTCTATAGTCAGACAAAATGTTAGCTAACATTCAACAATATCTAGAGGACAGTTCTTCATTTTTAAAATCAAGGATTATTGCATGGTGGATATTTCTTTCCCAGTAAAGAGCTTTTACATAATATACACATTTCAGCCCTATATTGATTTGACTTAAATTAGTGGAAACCTTCTGTATCTTTTTTTAGAAGAATTTTTACATTTTTTAATATTTATTATTATAGCAAGATCAGATAACTCATAAACTCAACACAGAAGTAATACAAGATTCTTTTATTCATTCAATCTAGAAACTATCCATACTATCCTATAGAGTATAGATTTCAAGGAAACACTCAGGAGCTAATTCTCATTCATGAATTAATTAATCATATACCTTTCTACCAACAGTAGAAAATGCTGTAGGGAAGATCTAACGGATTTAACTCCCAATTTCCTGTCTTGTGAGTGGAATTGTATCATGGAAATATTCCTGCCAGAACCTTAAGTAAGATTAAAGTCTAGCTTGGGCTCACACATTTCTTTATTCAAAAGAAGAGAAGAAAAAAGTGACCTCCATGTGCTCTCAGAATGGACAGAGCAAAAAATTTGGGACTTAAAAAAACAGGCTATGAAGGAATTTAAAAGGCCTTAAGTCGTAACAAAATGTAATTTCCCCATTTCATCCCTTCAACATTCCCCACTATTTCTTACCCCAACTGAGCCCATTTGGCAGTACTGCCCTACTTGACTCACAGCTATTCTCATGCCACAAAATACCCAGTGTGGCCATTCAATGGACAGAAAATACCCATAACTGTACGCCTTTGAGTAATAATATAGTGCTTGGTGTGATTTAGTATATTCAATAAGCCCAAAATTAGTGGTCTGTAAACCATGGTTAGTATATTGCATAGAATTTAGCCAGCTGTGTTTTATTCTATAAGCCATGGCTTAGTGTGACTTTTTATAGTCTAATCATTCTTAATAAACAAAGAACATTCACACCTGACCCTTAAATCGTGCCTTATCGTCTATCAGAGAACAAATATGTCCATAGAAAAACTTCATATAATACTTACTGATAGACAGAAAAAGTCCTATTTGGAAACGGTAGTGCTGGAATGAAAGGTAAGTAAACAATAAGCAGACTATGTGGAAAAACACTAGGGTTAAAATCCATGGTTCAGACCAATCTGTGTCCTATGAAAAAAATAGAAAATAAAGTTATCAAAATTATAATTGCAGATGAGAGCCATTTGTTGACAAAAAACTCCCAAGTACGTTTATGTTTACAAAATATAATGAATGAATGCAATGTGAAACTCATTAGAGTCCTAGGTCTGCCTTATATTTTTGCCTGAAGCAGGAAGCAGTTCTTCAGGAGCAAACAAAGGAACACATAAAAGCTGAAATTTCACACTCAAAATTATTTTTTTGTTTTTTAACGTTACCTCTGGCCAAGATTTTCTCCCACCTGCGAGAAGCGTTTCACACACTTCTTCCTCTAATTTGCAATTCCCGTATCTAAGTTTTTTGCAGGACAAAACTTCTCAGTCTGCCTTTACTCCAACCTTGTCTTGCTGTGTATATGTAGCCCTCAGCTTACAACCACAATTGGGCCCAAAATTTATGTTGCTAAGTGAAACATTTGTTAAGTAAATTTTGCCCCATTTTACGACTTTTCTTGTCTCATTTGTTAACTGAATACTGCAGTTGTAAAATTAGCAACAGTGAATATGGTTTCCCCATTGACCTTGTCTGTCAGAAGGTTGCAAAAGGAGATCACAGGACCACACGACACTGCAACCGCCATAAATGCGAGTCACTTGTCAAGCATCTGAATATAAATCACGTGACCATGGGGATACTGCAATGCTCCTAAGTGGGAAAATTGGTTATGTCACTTTTTCAGTGCCATGTAACTTTGAATAGTCACTAAATCAGTGGTTCTCAACCTTCCTAATGCCGCGACCCTTTAATACAGTTCCTCATGTTGTGGTGACCCCCAACCCCCCATCCAGCTGGGCGGGGGGGGTATCAAAAACTTGACCAAAAAAAAGAGAGGAAAAAATGGGAAAGTATAGGTAGTCCTCGACTTACAACAATTCGCTTAGTGACTGTTTGAAGTTACAACAGCACTGAAAAAGCGAATTATGATCATTTTTCACACTTATGATTGTTGCAGCATCCCCAGGGTCATATGATTTACATTCGGATGCTTGACAACTGATTCATACTTATGACGTTCAGTGTCCCAGGGTCACATGATCAATGGCCAGGGGCGTGGCCAGCTGATCACTCAGGTTGCAGAGTGCCTGTGGGGGGGAATCTGTGGGTCTCTGGGATGGGACTGGGGTGGGTGCCTGCCTTCCTTCCCTCCCTTCTCTCCCCTTGTCCCTTCCTTCCTTCTTTCCTTCCCCCCTCTTAGTCTCTTCCTCCTTCCCTCCCTCTCTCCCCTTGTTCCTTCCTTCTTTCTTTCCTTCCTTTCCTTCCCCCCTTAGTCTCTTCCTCCTTCCCTCCCTCTCTCCCCTTGTTTGTTTCTTCCTTCGTTCCTTCATTCCTTCCTTCCCTCCCTTCCATTATTCCTTCCTTCCTTCCCTCTCTCATTGTCCCTTCCTTTCTCCCCCCCCCTCCGTGCCCAGGAAGGGACAAGGGGAGGTGGATAGGCTGCCAGTGTGGCTGCCTGTGCACAGGCAGAGACAGAGGAGAGCTCCGCCCAGCTCACTTGCTCAGCTTCGCTGAAAGACATGCTGTTTGCTAAGTTAGCAGAAGCTCCAGGATCAGCCCGGGCTACAGCTGATTCGCGCTTCTGCTAAATTAGCAAGCAGCATGTTTTCTAGCATTGTTCCTTCCTTCCTTCCCTCTCTCATTGTCCCTTACTTCCCTCCCTCTTCGTCCCTTCCTTCCTCCCCCCTCCGTGCCCAGGAAGGGACAAGGGGAGGTAGATAGGCTGATTCACGCTTCTGCTAAATTAGCAAGGGCTGGGCTGCTCTGCAAAAGCGCGGATCAGCTGTAAAGGCTCGCCCCGATCCTGGACAAGAGGGAAGGAAGGAAGGGCCAAGGGGAAAGAGGGAGGGAAGGAGGGACAAAGAGGGAGACGAAGGAAGCAAGGAAGGAAGAGACAATGGGAGAGGGAAGGAAGGAGGAAGAGACCAAGAGGGAGGGAAGGAAAGGAAGTTCCAGCCAGCAGAGGCTTGGCAGCCCGGCTGCCGAGGAACAGAAGAGCGCAAAGCCAAGGAGAAGAAGGTGGTGGTTTCCTCCCAAAGAGGGCTCCTTTTCTCCACCCCTTCCCTGGGTTTGTGGGGTGCTCCTTCGAGCCTGCCGCGAGCTTTCTCCTCCCCCCCCCCCGCTTTCGTGAGGATTGTGGCGCCCTTGGGAAGCCGATTGTGCTTTGAAGCTTAGGAGAGGAGGAGGAGTCCCTTCCTCCTTCCCTCCCTGTCAAGCCCCGGCGGGCTGGACATGGAGGACGGGCGGGGTGGCAAAGGAGACCGGCTGACAAGCTCAAGTTCGGGGGTCGCCAGCTGACGGGCGCAGGAGTTGGGTGCTGCCCCGGCCTTCCCTTTGCTGACCTGCGTGCACGAGAAGAAGTCAATCCGGTTGCTGCACAATGAGTCTCTGGGGAGGGCGGGGCCTCGCTCTGCGCCTGCGCTCTTCATGCACCCCTTGCAGGGCACATTTGGTAGAGTTTGTGCAGACTGCCGCCAAGCAGAATATTTTCCACAAAGTGAGGTGGAGCGGAGGGGGGGGGGGAAGGGAGAGAAGACGGTTGACGAGCCCTGCCTAAGACCATCGGAAATATGTGTTTTCCGATGGTCTTAGGCGACCCCTGTGAAAGGCTCGTGCGACCCACAGGTTGAGAACCGCTGCACTAAATGAATGTCGAGGACTACCTGTACCTTCGTGGCCGTCCAAATCTCCCCTCCGGACGCTCATTGTGTGGCAAAATCCGATCCAGCTACTATTATAACCATATCCCCCCCCCGCGTGCCTTTTACCCACGCAGATGTCGAGACAATCACTATACTTGGTGCCTTGGAAGGGATTACAGATCGTAGTTGCCTGCCAGTGCTGTTGCCCCGTCTTCCTGAAATCATACAGGGAGCGGGCAATTGAAAAAGCCAGCAAGCTCCTGCCTTGCTGTAAGCGGGAAGGTGGCAAAGAGGCGATTCCCCTCGGGATTCTCTGAACTCCCCCCAGCATCCGTAAATCCCTCCTTGAAGTTGCAAATTACCGCACCTTCGCCTAGCAGGGTCAACGAACAACCCCCCTAACCTAACCCCCTTTTTCAATGCAAAGGGCTCGTTTTCCTACGACCCCCAAAACCGCAAAGCTCCCTTCTCTGGTTCCAACTCGGGAATAAGTTCACACGCGCGATCGTGCTCAGCCTAGCAAGAATCACCTCTCCCCGGCTCCCTTCCTGCAAACGTTCCCAGCGGGAAGAGGGAAGCCTCCGCGGGCAGTTATTACCGTGAGGATCCTGGTGACCCCGATAGGCAGGCGCCCTGGAGATTCCATGATTTGGGATGAATTCCTCTGCCTCAGCCAAACATTCCACCCAAGTTTGTTGGCGGGGGATAAATATTAATATATTTAATATTAACCAAGTAAAAGGAATGGCTCTACATGCTAAGCGTTTGCAACGCTTCTTTATCGCAACAACCGCTGCGCAGTCATTTCCATCAGAAAGCCGGAAGTGTTTGCTTTAACTAATTTCAGCTGTAGTTCTTTGGGAGTGAGAGATGAGTATTCTCGCGAGAACCGACAGGCGACGGCTCTTTCCGATGCTTGGAGCGACTTGATTATCGCGAGACTTCGGTAGGCTACGGGTATATAAATGGGGCAGGGCGGGCGTGTTGCGGCGTTAAATGTTGTGGGGACTGGTGGTGTGGGTTGCTTTTGTGGGTATGGTTGCACGAAAGGTGGGAAGGGCGTTGAGGGAATAGGAACGAAGTACAGCTTTGCTGAAAAAGGAAAGAAAAATTGAGAATGGCAGGAAAGCAAATAAGCTTTTAGAAAAACATTTTTGTAATTTGGAGCGCAAGTCCGCTTTTATAACAGCGTGTCTTGGGAGGGACGCTAGGAAATTAAGGAGTTAGCATTTTTTGAAGACGCATGCAAGTTTGTTTAGATACGCCTAACTTTGAGAGCGAGCCTCATTTCAGTGACTTTATTTAAAAGAGTAAAATTAACCATGAATTCCGTTGAAGCGCTATGCATACTACAGAACAGAAATAAAAGGAAAGCTGTTAGTAAAAAAAGGCAGGATAAAATGAGAAAAAAAAACAGGAAGTCTGTGAAACAAGCATACAATAATACTTAGTGTGATTGAAATTTAATATACAAAAGCTTTAATGAAAAAAGTATTTTAATTGGGTTCCCTTGAATTTTATGGGTATGCAGTAATCTACATTAGTGTGCTACATCTCTTTCCACAGAACCTTGTTCCCATCTAATTCTGGCTTATTTTGCTTAGTGTCTACATAGCAGTATTGAATCTTTTTAAAAGCAAAACTATAAAGCTGAAATTGCTTTCCTGTAGGGTAAATGATAGTTTACTGGTTGAGAATACCTTACAGCTGTTTGATTGCCTCATTTGTTGCAATCAAGTGCTCAAAACACCTGACAGATTCTCAGTGTCTGCAGGTGCACAAAGTCTTTTTTTCTTCAAGTATTGCTTTGCCTGCAGCAATGTGGGGCCCTTCAAGAGTCCATTCTCAATTCAAACCAGCCACAGTACCCCAGCCCACAATTCCTACAAGTCTGCTTTGTTTCCCACTTGTTAGCCAAACTCATATTGGGCTGCAGTTCTTCAAGCAGTGTTTAGGAGTGTTGCTACTGTAGTTAAAGATGAGTTTAATTCCAATTGCTCTTGTTGGGAAACTTCCTCAGTAGTTTGCTATCTTAACTGAAATGTAGTAGTCTCTTATCTTGAGAAAAATCTGAAATGTGTCTTAAGGGGAGAAGCCATATTGTGTAGCTTTTTTGCAAGTAGTGTTGGAGGGAGTAACCAGAAGGAGGATGTGTTGAGTGTGCCTATAGTAGCCCTAAATAAAAGCTAAATAGATCTAGCCCCAAATTCTGTCATCAACCACATTGTAAATAAGGCATTCAAGCAGCATGTGTATTGGGGAAAGGGAAAAGCACTTTAAAATCTGAACAGCTAAAGATAAATTTAGCCAGGTCAGGTAGTGTAGACGGTGATCTAGAATTGGTTAGCAAAGACATCTTTTGTGTGTGATCAGTGGAATGTGAGGATGAACTGTTGGAAAAGACCATAATTTGCCTGGGGAAATTTTAGCTCCACACAATCTTAATTTATTTTTTTGCTTTCCTGCACCAACTTAAAAGTGGCAATTTCACAAGCAACCAATCTTGGCTTTATCCTCTAGCTTTGGAGTTTGGAAAAAATATCATCCAAAAAGGCTACTTGAAAATCAAGATTATTTCCAACCTTCCCCCCTTTCCAAATCCTCCCCGGTTTACTTATTTTGAATCAGGTTTTTTCCCTGAAATTTTTCATATGCTGCTGCTTTCAGTTCAAAATAAACTGACTCAGGGTTATCCATATGGGGCATGTTAGATCTTTGATTTTGGTAACCTGACTCCAGATTGATTTTGGGCTGCTAATATAAAGCAGTAAAATGTAACAAATTCAATAAAAACACAATGGTAGCTTGAACAATCTTCCCTTTAACTTAATAAATGATATCACATGTATCTGAAGGTGAATATGAATATATTAAAATGGTGTATTAAGAGTTCACTTATATTGTAAAATTCTAGAATAAGGGTATAATGGCTTACAAATACAGTATTTGATTATTTCATACTCCATACATGAACTCAAGTTGAAACTAGTTACAGATAAAAAGCACAATTTTATGTTTAATACCAGATTCATAATCATTACAAACATGCCACTGTAAGAACATTCATTTTTTGCTAAAAACATAGCATGTTTTGCCAGAAACTATTTGATAGTGAGAACTAATGGTTGATTAGCCAATAGGTCATATCAAAGTACACAATATATCACAAAACATTACACAAGGCCATCTGTATAAAATGGAATACAAACAACATTAAGTGAAGAAAAAATAAGAAACATAAATGTTTCTGTTGCCCCTTCAGTTTACTCCTATCAGACACAGATATGTAGATTTAAACTTTTATTCAAATGAAGGATTGCTATAGAAGCCAAGAGACCGAGTTCTAGTCCCACTTTAAGCATGAAAGCTGGCTGGATGACTTTGGGGCAGTTATTCTTCTCTGCCCAACTCATCTCACTTTTTGTGGGAAAAACAGGAAGAAATATGTGCTCATTGCCATGAGTTACCTGTAAAGTAATAAAGGCAGAATAAAAATCTAAAAGGTCTAATTTGCAGTTCAAGATACCGTAGTCTTTTTCTTACAGAATTGATAATCAGATGTGTTATCTTTTATTGGAGTTCTGCAAATACAAGTGTGTTCATTGTACATGATTTGGTTAAATCTTCTATTTAACCACTGTGTCCCGCTGCTTAAATCTTACATGTGTAAATATCGCCCTGTTTAGGCATTTTTGTCTTGAGACTTTTGGAAAATTGAAAAGTATTTTATACGTCCCATTTTGGTGTGCCAATCTTACTGAGGATGATCTGTACAATACAGTATGGTTATAATTATAGCTTTTTAAGACAAGGTTCTGGGATGAAGTGTTTGGTAGAAGATGAAGAGTCAAACAGTTTTTAAGGTTGAAACAATGAATATTGTTATATTCATAATTCCTATAAAATTCAGTTTTCTTTTAAGTTACAATTGTTGCTCTGTATCATAGGGATCAATATTGAACAAATTGATCTGGTACTGGTGACTCTGCATCTGTAAACCTAGCAACTACTGCTAATGACAATACATTTAGTCTGTTCCTTTCATGTTTTAATTGGTGGGCTTGTGGACAATTGAGATCAGAATGAGGACTGTTTAACAGAGCTGTCCCAATTCAGGCTCTTACCAAGAATATTGGCTTGCAGTAATGATAACTAGGTGTAAGTGTAATATCCACTTGCAATATGAGAAAAAGTACCAAATTGCAATACCAGTCCTTGCAGGATAACCAAATGTCCAGTTGTTACTGCTGTCCCTGAAAGCCGGGTTATTTTACATACAGTCATGTGAAAAAGAAAGTACACCCTCTTTGAGTTCTATGTTTTATGTATCAGGACATAGTAAAAATCATCTGGTCCTTAGCAGTTCTTCAGGTAAACACAACCACAGAATGAATAACACATGACATACTACACCGGGTTATTTTACCCCCCAAAAAAGCCAAAATGGAAAATCAATGTGTGAAAAACTATGTATACCTTAAGGTACAATAGCTTGTAGAACCACCTTTAACAATAGCTTGAAGTAATCATTTTCTGTATGACATTTATCAGTCTCTCACATTGTTGTAGAGGAATTTTGGCCCACTCTATAACATTTATTCAGTTCATTGAGTAGTTTATGCATAACTCCCTTGAGGTCCTTCCATAGCATTTCAATCGGGTTGAGATCTGGACTTTGACTGGGCCATTGCAATAACTTTATGCTTTTTCAGCACTTCTGTTGTAGATTTGCAGATGTCCCTGGGATTGTCCTATTGCATTGGCTTTAGCTGTCAGGCAGGTGGCCTCACATTTGACTCTGGAACACTTTGGTATACAGAGGAGTTCATGGTTGACTCAGTGACTGCAAGTTGCCCAGGTCCTGTGGCTACAAAACAAGCCCAAATCATCAACCCTACAACTAGTTGGATTGGTATGAGATGTTTATGCTGATACGCTGTGTTTGGTTTTGGTTTTCGCCAAATGTGGCACTGTGCATTATGGCCTAACACCTCCACTTTGGTGTCATCTGACCAAAGGACAGAGTTCCAGAAGTCTTCTGATTTTTTTTCAGAGGCAACTTTGCAAACCTAAGCCGTGTTGCCATGTTCTTTTTAGAAAGAGGCTTTCTCCTGGCAACTCTTCCAAACAAGCCATATGTGTTCAGTCTTTTTCTAATTGTACTGTCATGAACTTCAACATTTAACAAAAGGTAACTGAGGCCTGTAGAGTCCGAGATTTAACTTGGATAGATAAAGCATTGGCAAGTAGCCCAGCAAACCCAGCAAGCCCTGTCTGGAATTGTTAAGTTTAGCTCCTGTTAAGACCACACTTTGGGTAACAGCTGGTGAAGGCATGAAGAGAATATTTTGGTTCATTCTCCTGAAAGCAGTGTATCGCTTCAAGAAACAACTTTTATCTCTTGAACCGTTTATATACTTATCTAACAAATTTGTCACTTTCCTGGAAAAGTTTAGCAGTGCAACAGCAAGTATGTCCTGAAAAATTGTGTGAATGACTGTGTTAATGGCAGACTTTGGGTAGCAGATACTTTGTCCTGTTGAGATCCTATAGAGTCACAGAAATTTATATAGTTTAAATTGGTTTGCTCAGCACCAATAGCTGATTAACTGAGAACTGTAGGGTATTAACCAGAACGTTGCTCAGTTCAGTCCTATTCATTTTTACTCAGAAGCAAGTTCTACTGTGTTCAATAGGATTTATTCTCACATAATTTTTTGTATTCAGTTGAAGTCATTCTAATGTATACTTGAATAAATATAGTCCAGAGAGTTCAAAAAAGTTCCCTTTTTTTTGTTCCCTAAGGTTTGACTTTATCTACACAG